TAATTTCAAATAAATGGTCATATGTTTGAACTTCAGTGGTAAGGATTTAGATTCTTTGAGCTGAAAATGTTTAAGAAAGTATAGAAAAGTTACTACCTTACGAAGAATCGTAAACAAAACGTCGTCTAATGCCCAATCGTTATACCCTACACCACGGCGCGCGTAGCACTGTGCGCCGCGTGCCTCCCAAAACGACGTCGTTTTGGGAGGCGCGGTAGGAAGTTGCTGTGATTATGTATATTTGTTCACACAATTATGTATATTTGTTCATACAGTTATGTACATTTTTTATACAATTATGTACATTCTTTTTATACAATTATGTACATCCGAATCAGAAAATTTGTGCGTATTATGTTAAGAGTTGATGTGTATTATGTTAAAAGTTTATGTTTATTATGTATTATGTTAGATTATGTGTATTATATCTTTTAAAAAGAGTATGTATATTTTGTTATATAATTATGTACATTCATGTATACAATTATGTGTATTCTGGTATAACATTATGTACATTTTTGAACATAGATTTTTCTTTTAAAGAAAAATTAACTACCATCCGGCGGGAAATTTCAAAAAAAAATAATAATTAAAACGACGTCGTTTTGCATCTGGGCGCACATTGCAACGCGCGTCGTGGTGTATGATATAAATTGCCTCTAATGCCACCAACAAAATGAAAGCATAGTAACGAACACAATAACAGAAGCAACTAAATAAGCAAGAAATACTTTACCCATTAGCGACTTGCTGCAATTCCCATCCTGATAACTCTCCAACTCTTGTTAAAGCATCTCTCCAAATCTTTACCTTTTCTTCCCCGTAACGTTCTTCATGTCTTGCTAAAGCTTCCCCATACTCACCGATTTGCTTGCGCACTTCTGAAGGGTCAATATCATAAAAAAATAGGAATAACAACTTGTTCTCTGATCTTTTTGCACTCAAGTATTTCAACCAATTCATCAAGGCACCACCTTGATGAAGCATAACCTTTTGAGAATACAATAATAGAAATTCTTGAACTTCGGATTGCTCTCTGAAGTTCGGACGAAAGGGTTTCACCTTTTCTTACTTCTTCCTCGTCCCTAAATGTGTTGACTCCAGCTTTATCTAATGAATGATAAAGATGATCTGTGAAAGTTTTTCGTGTATCTCCTCTAAAGCTTAAGAATACATCATAAGCCCACCGAGAATGGTTAAGGAATGATGATTGTGAATTGGAAGACTCAGCTTTGACTTCTGTGGTGGCCATAGACAAGAAGATTGGATTAAACGTTGTAGCTAAGCTTGATCTGTGAGATTGATATTTGATGAGATGGAGAAGAGAAAAAGAAGGGAGGGGTAGGTACAAATTAGAATGGTCATAAATGTGTCACTGCACTAATTATTACGGAGTATTATTATTATAGAAAGACCTTGACTTGCAAGTCCACGCACTTCCAATTGAGAGGATCGTGACCGAACACGTGTCCACATGTGGTACGTTGGGCGGCTAACGACAAGATTGGATTAATCGTTGTAGGCTTGTAGCTAAGCTTGTTCTCTGAAATTGATATTTGAGATGGAGAAGAGAAAAGGAAGGGAGAGGTAGGTATCTCTGAAGCTTCCAATATATACTACAGAAAAGACATTGTACTAAGGAGATTTTACATCATTTTTAACAAAATTGCCCTTTATAGTTTTCAGATTTTTTTTGTTTTTTAAATTTAGAGTATAAACAACGATTTTTTTTTTTTGGCAAAAATTTGCGTGAGACCGTCTCATGGATCCTTATTCGTTAGATAGGTTTGATCGAGATGAAAATATAATACTTATATTGAAAAATGTAATAATAATTAGGAATATAATGTTTATTACTTATATGAGAAAGTGTAATACTTTTGAAAAAAAAATAATTAAAAGTATTAATTAGTATTACATTTTCCAATGTACGTATTACATTTTCATGTTGACCCGACATGTTTCACGGACAATTATCTGTGAAACGGTTTTATACAAATGTGACTTCTTTTGTTTATTAATAAAACGTCGTCCTTTGACTTTTAATTGCACCCAAAATAGTCCTTTGACTATAATAAAAATCCTAAATTATCAATTTTATCCCTCATTTTAACACTCACTTAACACCAAAACTAAAGGATGACCATTTTGGCTTAAAATTCAATAGTTGGAGGACCACTTTTGGTGCAATTAAAAGTCAAGGAACCAATTTGAAAAAATACCATAGTCAAAGAACCATTTTGGGAATTAACTCTTTAGTAAACATTAAAAATTTAAGAGTAATAATGTAAAAATTAATTTATTGTTGAGATGGACAAACTTATTCATAAACTTAATACTTTGGTTTGATTATTAGCAAGAATGTGAAGAATCAAATTTTTACATTATTATCTTTAAATTTAACACTTACTAAATTAATATTTAATTAGAAGACCAAAAGTTGGAACAAAATCAGTAGTAAGTCATAAAAATTAGTAAAAGGCAATAGTCAATGAACCATTTTATTGTCCAATTGAAAGTCTAAATAAAATGTCCAATTGAAAGTCTGAATAAAAAATACTTGTACCCAATAGTAAGTGCCAATAATCAATAGATCATTTATGTTCAAATAAAAAACTCGGTGATAAAAATTGATAGACACTACTAGTCAATGGATCATTCCAAAATTTAACTCAATATCAAAATTATTAAATTGAATCCGCTCCAGCTAAATATGCTGGGTGCGAAGGAGCTACCAGAAAATTGGTTCATGATACCTAAAGCGTAAACATCAGCAATTTCTTCATTTTCCTGTTGGTCAAAAGTAAAGAGAAATAGTTGCTATAAAAGCAATTGCCGGTGATTTTCTTTTCATTTTGAATTTTTGATCCGCAGTCCACAGTAGATATAATTAGTTTGTCATAATTCTTTCTTTTTTTTTTTATGATCCTCTTAATTTACAAACACGTCTTTCCTTATGGATCGCCACCTAAAAAAGCACAAGGCTAAGAAGTATGAGCCAGTCATATCAGAGACAATGGAATTAGAAGACCATCCACAAATGCAACGAGGAACTGGCATTGCTGAAAAGATACTAAAAGGAATTGATTCATGAGAAAGAACTTCAAGAAAGCTGCTCTTCATTTGGGGGAGAGATGAGGAGAAATGCCGCCGCTATTTCAACCAAGCAAAAATCTGAACACGTCGCTCAATGAAATGATCCCTTCTACACGCTTGCTGCCAGCCTCCACTATGACAACTCTTCTAACCCCTGGGTAACATAGTCAACATTTTGCTTTAGTGTCTCGAAATATTTTTACTTCAAATCATTTTATAAACTCAATCACGCCACAAAGTTTTCATCGTCTCAAAATTTCAATACTATAAGCAAAGAAAACTGAGCAAATAAAAAGGTAGAGAGGATCTGAATAACTAAATGCAAGAATGTATAGATAGAGAACAACATTCACCCGCAATTTGTGCTTTAAAAGAAAAGGAAAAGTTTTTTTTTTTTAATAAACTCATTGGAATTTGTTCATGAACTGCCACAGAGGTTCTGGATTGTTAAGAAAAATGTACAATTTTTATGGATACAACTAGAAATTTTAAAGCAGGGATAAGTATGTGACTTAGCCTACATTCAAATCATATCAGATAGTCAAAACTAAAGTGATAACTTGAAAAGAAACCTCAATAATAATAGTAAGCATTAGAAATAGGAGAATTCAGAAATTATGAAAGAATGGCCTACCAGGAACAGATAACCGTTCCATCACTTTGTGCAAAGGATCAGACCTCAGACACATCTGACATCTCTGTCCATTGAAAAGTTCATTTGAAGAACTAGCGTCTTGTCGCAATTGTAACGCCTGCGTTAGAAGGAAGATAAGATGTGTAGTTACAGAAGTAGAAGTAGTGCAGCCACCAGGTCAAACAATAGTTGACAGCCTAAATAGGCATTATGCAGTTTCTTTACCTTTGCATTTGAGAACGGATCTCAAATTTTGTGGATAAGCAGATTCCAGTAGTGTTTACTATAGAATGGATATGGAGCATACTATCAAATGAAAGGTGTTATATATGCCAATAATATATGCATTACTGGTATAACTTCCTATTGATGAGGATATTACACAGCGATCCACATAAGAAATTTAAAAACAAAAAAAAAAACAAAAAAAAAACAAAAAAAACAAAAAAAAAAACCTAAAATATGCCATCAGAAAGGATAATGAGCATAAAGGAAACCAAAATTTATGTTGATTTTGTTTGCCAAAGCATGAATAGAGCCCAGTTGAAACCGAACAAGATCTAATCAGTTACCGCTCAAATACAGTGTTTGTAGAATGGTCTCCAAATAAGAAGCGTTAATATATATATAAGCTTTCATCATCTCATCTACTCCTATTGGCGGAAATATTTCATTTGTGTTAAGATCAAAATATAAACTACAGCAAGAGTAGATCCACACAACCCAGAGTTTTTATTTGCTTGCAACTAAATCTCGCCTATATTGTACTGGATCTTTCTTTCTTCCAAAAAACATGGGATGGCCCCATTAAGTTTGAATGTCCAATACTTATATAAACAAGTTCTTGAAATTGTTAATCTATACCATTAAAAAATAAAAAAATAACACAGCCACACACATACTTAAAAACACAATTACCTGGTGAATACTCAATTCATCAAGATGAATTTGTGCATAAGCCCTATCTTTTGCCAAAGCAGTGATATCACTGTTGAACAATGACAAGCACAAAGAGTACTATATCAATATCACTACTTAAATAAAGCTTAGAAAATGTTCGTAGTTAGCAATTAAAACTTGCCTTCGACAGTATATATCCAGCAAAGAGTCATTATCATCCACTATTGGTATTGAACTAACTTCAGCTACAATGAATACATGTAACATTTGGTTAGCACTAGGATGACATAGTTTACCAGATGAGAGTTTGATTCACATCATTTTTTTTTTGGATAGTTCAAATGTCGGCTACCAAGGAAAATGAAAATAGATTCAGTAGGTTCACAAACATAATTACCGTGATATAGACTAACCATTATTACTACGTATTAAATATCCTGTCACAACTTCTATAGCTATGGAAAGGGAAAAAGTAAAATATCAAAGACAAAAAAAAAAGGGTGAAGAGAAAAGAAAACGAAAATCCCCAAATGTCAAAGTTGCCAAAGCCTAAGAGCAGTGGAAAAATAAAATAATAACAATAATAATAACTGAGCACTCCCTTAAATATCAGAAAAGATGAAAATGGATATGCCGCTCAGTGATTATGAATAGCATTTAATGAAAAAAAATACCCTGAACTAACAAAGACAATGCAGCACCAAGGGAGGCATTTGGTCTAAGCATTGCAACTGGCTTTCCATTTGGTTCTCCAATTTTTGGTACCCAGGTACCCACAGGAATGGAGCAAATTGGTTGCTGAAGAATGGGTAAGGAGCCAGAAGAATGTCTGAAATGCCGGCAGATACCTGAACATTTTGAGGCATGCCACACATTTAGTGCAAAGCAGTTTTTTTCTTTTTTATTTTTCCTTAATAATAGCAAATGATTACTTATCACATGAAAGAGAAACTCACATTTTAGAATCCCAGATAGGGAAGCCAGGTGTAGCATCTGAGGAAATGAGCCATCAGGTGAAGAAGAATGAATGATGGGAACTGTGGATACCTTGTTTTGCAAAAGCCTTAAAGCAACATCTTTCAAAGAATCATAAGGCCCGCTCTGCACATTGTAAGATGGTGTAAAAATAAGAGTGGACATAAATGTTCAACCAGCATGTAATCTTGCATTGGAAAAAGCAGGACAGAAACATAATTCATGTTGTAAAGAGTGAGGATATGACTATGATCTATAGAGTGGATTATTAAGTTAAGCATACCAAGTCTGGAAATGTAGCCAAGGAAACATTCAAGCAGAATATCAGAACCCATAAGTGCAAGAAGTTAAGAGCTAGAACAAACAGTTAGGCAGAAATATAACACATTGTTTTTCTTATTTTTAAAATGAAAATTTCCACCGATGAATAATAGCAGCCAAGGTACAAACACAGGAGGGTAATTTTGTAAAGACGTATGATTTGGAAGCAGAATGCGCTCCACTGGAAGAGTTGCACATCAATTATACAATAGCTATACTGCAAGTTAGGTACCCAGCTTCCCATAATATGCTACCACTATGATAAACTAGTGGAGCACAAGAATTTACATCAACAATGTACTTGATGCACTGGTGAATCACCACTTCAGAAACCTATTCAGCTGGATCCCTCCTGCTCTAAGATCTTTGTGTAGTGTTTCATAACCCCCCAGCATTACTGCCATTACTATACCTTGACCTATTCAACTTATATTTAGAAGAATCGGAAATTGTTGTCTAGGAACAAAGGTTCACTGAAACCAGGCGCAATTGCAAGTTGAGCAGCATTTAAGTCTTTTTTACTGACCAAAACTGAAGATCACACTAATTAACGTAAAAGTTCTAGTTTAGTTTCCTGACTTCAATAGCAGGCATTATTTTATGTAGTATATTAGGTATATAAAAACTGTAACACTAATGAACAACCTTTGTACTAAATAAGTTACACTTTCCTTACACAACTAAAAACAATCAATACAACATATTAAAAAAAAAAAAAAAAAAAAAAAAAAAAAAAAAAAAATTCCTCAACGGTCAAGAATTTTTTTCACCCAAGTGCCAAGTTATATTTTCCTCTGTGGCTCTGTTAGGAGAAATGGTTTTTGAGTCATGATTGCATGGTAATATGGTTAGTATATTGGTCAATGGTAATGTTTGTTGTATTTACTTAATTAGTTGAATGACTTTATTGGATGGAAATAACAAATATCTATGTCAAACAAAAAGACACTGTTTTTTTGTTTTCCAGATTTTTCCAAATACAGAACGTCAGAACCATACGTTCATCTATAATCACTATTATCATTACATACAAACTTCACTTATCCATCTACTCATATCATCTACCCAACCACCTATCAATATACATCTAACGCCACCTACCTACTATATCACCACCTATATCTACTTATCTTAGCATCACCACTATTAGAAATGACAAATTGACAATAGGTAGGTACTTTTCTATTTAACCATTTTCAATTTTGAATCAAATACATTTAGAATTACCCGAACAAAAATGAATATTACCCGCATCCATTCCAAACCCGTTTGACACTACCCATATAGTACTTGAAATCACCCCGAAACCTATTTAATGCACACGCATGCTTGTACACACACACACAATTGAGTATTGGGCACGAGAATTTCACAACTAGCCAAACCCATCATATTAGGGTTCAAGTAGCCAATATTATTTTACCCATTGTCATCCATGGATATTATTCATATCATCTAAAATTTCTAAATTTTAAAACTCAAAAATTAACACTCAAAATTTTCAACATCCTTAAAAATAATATATAATAAAATCATTACGAATAGCAAATAATGCCCAAGAATATTTGGAAAAGTGCTCATCAGAAGGCTTTTCAATTTCAATAAATAGCACAAACTTAATTTTTGACTTGGTCAAATTTTTAAAAATTTAATCCTGACCTTTATGGAGCATATTTATTCAATAATTTCTGAATGTTTGATCCCATTACTTTAAAAATAGTTATGATAAATCTATATCTAGATATGTATTAATATGTGTGCAGCCTTTATTAATTTACATTGATATTTAATGGGATCTGCCTAACCAATTAATATTTATGCTGCTCAATGTCTATTTATTGGTTGAATTTAAACTTGACCTTTAGTATTTACTATTTAGCAAGCTAAATTAATTTATCTATAAATATTTTCTCTCTCCCTCCCAAGATTATTCATAACATAAAAATTATTACAAATTGAAATGTTTATTCATGGACTACTAGTACTAATGAACAAACTAGTGATTATAGAAACAAAACCTGCATCACTTTAATTTATTACAGACAAATCATTTACTTGCCCAAACATAAAGCATAAAAGACTCAAAATATAACAAGCCAGAGGATAAAAACTCTTTTTCTGGTACGTTCTTTCCCTACAGTAGACCTGTGTTCAAATCCCGCCAACCCCCTATATGTCCCATCAGACGTGCCCAACCAAAAAAAACACCACTAGGTTGAGGTAAATTTATTTGAAGATCATTGTCATTTCATTTAAGAATTTACTTACATGGATAAGAGGTCTTGAGTAGGATCTCAAATTTCCATCAATTTGTCTGTTCAGACGAAGCTTTCCATCTTTCCAAGCAGATATAGTATGGGTCTCCAGCTCTTCTTCTGTCAAGTTAGATCCATGGTTCCCAAGCTGTATTTGCAGAACAAATTATTTTCTAAGACAGTAAGAACTGATCAGACGTAGAGGATGTATTAAGATATGATGTACCACAGACAAAAAGACTTCAATATATCAATATATATACTTAATGATGCCAAAATACTGAAAGAAAGAATGGAAAAAAGGAAAGGTAACATGAAAAATCAAATAAGGAATAGCCCTAAATAACCTTTTGCATCATTAGAGTGTCAGGTTTCAATTCTACAGCATATATACTGAAGGACAATGTTGTCCTATACAGAAAAGACAGCTGTCTCATAAATACCCAATAGTAGCAACGGTTTTGACAAATTGAAAAATATATGATATGTTCTATGAATTATACAATGGACATAATTGTAAGTAACACTGAAATATAAAAGTATTGATCCAAAGGATATTTTATGAACATGTTCAGTCATGCCATATATATAATATATCATCATATCATGTGAGAATAATGGCTGGTGTAAATATGAGAAATATATATATCAGAATAAATCAATGGTTTTAGATGCACTAGAAAAAGGTGGTGGTATAATTGTAAATATGCAGAAATTTCAATAGCTAACTGAGAAAACAATCTAACAACACTACTTTTACGGGCAAAACTGTGAAATAAACATCCCTCCCACACTCGTCTTCAAGTACAAGCGCATCATTTTAACTGTAAAGAGAAAATGTGCATAATTTTCAGGTTAAAAGTGCACCTCTTGGGAAAGTGCATTAGTTGTGTTTGATTTTGGGTTTTTTATAATTACAAATATATAATTGTTAACATGCACTTTGTGTGGGAGAGAGTGCAACCATAACCATAACCACGTACTTTAATTGTATATTTACTTCCTACATCCATGTCTTCAGTCCATCTAAGTGCATGATACACTTGAATAGAAGTACAGCATTTTTAATTGTAAATGTAAATCGTATGTGAGAAAATGTGCATAATGTTTAGGTTAAAAGTGCACCTTTCAAGAGAGTGCATAAATGGTTCCGTGCAACAACTGGTTGCACCGGCATCTAACAGATAAAATGTCAAGTATGCCCTAAAAAGCTAAACTGACATATTATTGCACATAACTGCAACCATTAAATCAAGCAGAATGGATCACCGAGATGATTTCTCATTTTTTAAACCAGAATCTATTCTCCCTCCCTCCCTCCCTCTCTCTCTCTCTCTCTCTTGGAGAACAGCACGGAGGGGGGTGCGGGTGTTGATGGTTTTTATTGTGTTTGTGTGTGTAAACAGAATTATTCACACAAATTCAAAACCACAGGTTGTAAAGAAGAAAAATATTTACACAATAAAAAGAAACATAAAAGCAACAAATTCTTTCTTAGTAATTCTAACAAATAATGGTAGTTGAGATATTCCAAAATGTAGTCATTCGATATGAAATTACAGAAGAATAGCTGAATAAGCTCCTTGAAAAGGAAGGATAGCAGTAACTAGTCTGATGCATACCTCCCTAAGGATTAAGATGAAATCTACAGCACTAAGAACTCCAACAAACTGACCCCCACAAAGGTCCCACAGTGGAGCAACAAAGATTCCCTGAAAACAGCTTTAATTAGATATTATCAAATTCAAGTTGTTAATCCAAATATAGATGTGTATGCATGTGACCATGATAAATTCCAAACTTATGTGATGCTGAGCAGAAAACTCAAAAATGGGATAAGATTTTTTTTTAGATACTGACAGGAGAGTCAGCGAAGTTTTTCACAAAAGTTGTTCTAGTCA